CTTGTGAGCTGCTGATGACAGCTATTAATTTAAAGGGGACAGTCTGCTGATCAGTTCTACTATAAGCTGATGGTCGCTAAAGCGACCATCAGCTTATAGTAGAACTGTAAATGCCAGGTCCGTACGACGTACTGAGCTGGCCAGCTGGAAGCACTTTTGTAGCTCCGTATGACGTACGTCCTTGGCAGCGAAAGGGTTAATGCAGCTCGATTTTACAAATGATAAAATGTATAAATGCAACTGGTGTCAATCTGATTTCTCACTTGGTAGCAGACTCTTGGTTTCCCCCTATACATCAGCACTCAGACTGGAGAAGGGGGGGGTGCAGGATCAGGTGTGCTGCATGCAAATGTTCTAATGAGGAACCTGCAGAGAGGGAGCTGTGTGAGCCTTCACATGAGATGCATCTATATTGTAATGTGTGTTGGTATGTTTTTTTTTTTTTACACAGCGGACTCTCAAAGACAGAAGGAAATGATGAAACGAGAGCTAAATAAAGTTTTGGAGGAGAAGCAGCAGGTTCAGAATGACTTGAACTCTATGGAGAATTCCTTTTCTGAACTCTTTAAAAGATTAGAAAAGCAGAAGGATGCTTTGGAAGGTTATCGCAAGGTAATCGGCAAGAATATCACCAGAGACTGATGAGCAACTCCAGAGATGCTTCCTCCTGCCTGCAGAAACCCACTTTAGACCCAAGAGGAGCATTTCAGACTCCTTTGCTTCTATAAACATTTCGATTTATAATATTGCAGCCTGCAGTGATTGGGGAGGGGGTGGCCATGGGGACTGTGTAGGCATGGAATATGAAAAATATCCGAGGCTAGGTTCATTTTAAAGCTGAAGTTAAAGTATACCATTAACCTCTTGCCGTCCGCCCTTTGAGAAAAAATCCCTTTTGGGTTTTCCGTTAGACCCCTTTTTTTTTTTTTTTTTCTTCTGCTTGTGCGTACCCCCGTGCAGAAAACACACGCCCGTTCTTTACAGCCGTTACAGGCTGTTTGATATACATACGATCGGCTGCTCTTTAGCCTACCTATCGTATGTATGTGCTGTCTTTGCGCCCCCCCATCGAGTGCCACCGTTGACACCCCTCACCTTGAGTACCCGGGATCCGTTAGCCCATCTGCGGCTCGGGAGGTAAGATGGGAGGGAGATCAGCATCTTCCTTGCTGATCCCCCCCCCTGAGGTCTGAATGCAGAAGTGATGTCTATTACATCACTTCCGCATTCACCTGTCAGTCATCTGGCTACTATAGCCAGAGAAGAAGCTGATGAAGCACATCTGTGCTTCATCAGCTTTTGGGGTCCCCAGGTGACATTAGGGGTCTTAGACCCCTAATGTCTCCATAAAGAGGACCTGTCAGGGTACCTGTGCTATCACATAGGGAGATTGTTATTCCCCTATGTGATGGCAATAACGAGTGTAAAAAAAAAACCCCACAAATTTAAGTCGCCCCCCCACATTTACGCACATATAAACGTAAATACGCGTTCGATGCGTCAGCGTGCGAAAATGACAATTGCGCTACACATGTTGCATATCGCCGCAACGTCGGAGTGAGAGCAATCATTTTAGGGCCATCAATCACTGATAACAGTAAACTGATGAGCGGTAAAAGCTTGTAAAGCGTTGCCTATGGCCAATTTTGTGTATTGTAGTGGGGTTTTTTTAGGTTTCATGCACAATTTTAAGGCTTGACATGTTTGGTGCCTATCTGACGTGACCGCGTCTTTTTATATTTTTATTATTACTCAAAGAAATTGGGTAATGTTTTATCATTTAATATAGGGGAAAAAGTTTTTTTTTTAAATCTTTGGTAATTTTTCCATTTTTTAATATAGTAAAAAAATAATCCCCCCCGTAATTAAATACCACCAAAAGAAAGCTGTCTGTCCCTAAAAAAAAAAAAAAATTGTATAAAATTAATTTCAGTACAGCATTGTATGACGGAATAAATGTCAAAGTACCGCAGCGCTGGACAGTGAAAATGGCCTGGATGGGAAGGGTTTAACACCGTGGACTTCAAGTGGTTAAAAACATATGGGTACGGTTTTACCTGCCAAACAATTGTCACCTTTCTTGTAATTCAGGTAACCTTGGCCAACAGCACGTATTGGTGACTTCTCATTAGGCTTTCAATGCTTTGCTTGCCATTGCAGTGATGCTCCAACCAAAGACCCCCGTACACTTATCCTTGTATAAACTTGACCCCTTCTTTGCATACCGTACATGCCTCTTGTACTGGGAACCTCTACGGGTCAGGTCAGTCAGTCTGTCCCTCCCTGCAAAGGTAGTTTGTTATGCCGGTGGAATCTGACTCACTAGAGGGCATGCCTGTTTGTTGCTTACATAGACCTACATGTAAGACTTGCCTGAGCATACATATTTGGTGAATGGAGGAGCAGCCTCATGCTCCTACTGCTGATGTGGGGAGGAGATTAATTGTGTGTTCTAATGCTAATCTTGTATAGTGTGCTTGGCAAATGCTTTGAACCTGTGACTGTCTCACTAGAATGAAGAGGCCCTAAAGAAGTGTGTTGAGGATTACCTGGCCAGGATTAAGAAGGAAGAGCAGCGATATCAGGCACTGAAAGCACATGCGGAGGAAAAACTGAGCAGGTAAATAAAACTTATTGGGGTACAGATTGGTCTAGGTGGAAGCTGTGTATAACCTACATTTAAGGCCCCGTTCACACCTGAGCGTTTTACCGCGCGTTCCTGTGCTCGGTAAAACGCGCAACAGGTGAAAACCCATGTTTGCCTATGGGCATGGTTCTAACCTGCGCGTTTTACCGCCCGTTCGATCGCGTGGCAAAACGCCATACTCCCTAAAAAGTTAATGAGCTTCTTTGGGGCATATTAATGCCAGTATCCCGCTGTTATCAGCCGTTTCTTTTTCCGCAAATTGCGGCAAACGCAAGTTTCCAATACGCTAAGGTGTGAACCCAGCGTAAGTGTCATTTAGAGCTTTGAGGAGAGAAACTGAGCACCGTTTGACTCTAAACTGGTGCCGGGTGCACATCTTTGAGTTGCACTAACATGCTGCTACACCATGTATGCATTGGGGCTTTGTGGTGCCATTTAGTTTGACTGGCAACACCCATATGATCCAGCGCATTGTAATGCACTACCAGACAGCTGATGAAGACCTCGCCCCATTTTCTGCTTTATGTATGTTTTAAATGGAAAGCGGCATAAAATTTGATGACACAGATGCAACCTGAGCTAAGAGATTCCCTTACATTGCAAAGAAAGATGGCTGATGGTAACTCATGTTACAGACTTTAATCGCTCCCCATATTAGAGTCCTGTAAAGGGTAAAACACTCGCTGTATTTAATACAGTCTGGTTTGTTACACACTCGTTTCTCATCTGGGAAACCAGCAGGTGGGTCTCCCATCATAGTTCAGCATGGTGTGTTCAACTCTTATTTGTATTCTCTCAGATATGACCATTTGGTGGTTTAACTCTCGGCACCTACCAGAATCAGAAATGCCAGTTTTGGGTTTTCTTGGTCAATCTCATTGACGTCTGCTTGTCTTTTTGAATACAGAGCTAATGAGGAAATTGCCCAAGTAAGAAGCAAGTTCAAGAGTGAATCGACCGCTCTCCAGGCAACACTACGCAGAGAGCAAATGAAGAGCCAGTCCTTGGAGCGTGCTTTAGAACAAAAGGTAAGCTACCTCCATTTCTTGTCTATTGGATCCAGGAAGTCTTTAATTTTTGGGTTATACTGCTGACTGCAGGAGAATTGGGCACTGGCAAATTAACTGTAGGGCAGCCCAGGATACCCCTTTTAACGTGTCAGTTTCTTGTTGGTGTCCTTGTGCATTGTAGATATGCATGCACATAGACTAACATTGCACTATACTGCCATCTACAGCTCAAAAGACAAATTGTGTTGGTATATGCTGTTGCATTGCCAACACTTTTGTGAAGTTATTATCACTAACTTTTTTTTATTTGATTTTTCTTTTTTTTTCCCCCTTAATTTCAGACAAAAGAAAATGACGAACTGACAAAAATATGTGATGACTTGATCTTGAAAATGGAAAAAATTTGAGACGTGATCTCGGCACTTTTGTGCAATACTGTTTGCGTTTATTTGTAGCACTGTTTTTGTCTCTTTTATATGTTTAAGTTCTAATAAATAGAATTTTAATTTAACTCGCACTGTTGTCTTCATCTCTTCCCTTTTTTAAACATGTCACAAGTAAAAGTGTTAACTTGCTGGCTTCAAAACCTAGCATCTTTCGGAACAAATCACTCTGAGCAAGTATTCAGATAAGGACCCATAACTTGTGTGTGTCTATCACAAATGGGTCATCATTGGCTATTTTCTTTTTTTATATCCAGGTACCCAATACAATAGTCTCCTGCTAATCCCATTTTGTGGAGAATGCGTCTATTATTGCAAACTGCAGAGTCTATTCAAATGCCCAAAATGCTAGTTGACAATGTCCCCTCTGCCTGTGTTAGAGAGCATGAAACCTTCCCCACCAAGCATAAAGGTTCTGAGCTCTAACTCTACATTGACCTGAACGTCTCCTCTATTCATGCAGTGGTTTTTATGATGGTTCATCTTTTAACACCAAGAGCCCCTAGCTACTATGTACGACTTCTGACTTGGATATGGCTCCATTGCATCCTGCTATGCCATGCAGGGTATCATTCAGTAGGTTGCTAAAGTTGTGTGTTTTTGTCTGAACATCGACTCGCTTAAAACCTGTCCTTTACAAACTGACTTGACAAGAGTTTGGCAAATGAGGCACCAATAGGCATCCTACCCCCTTTAAATATTAGCTTAATTTGTTAGTGGTAGTTGCAGATTTTGTGGAATTAAACAGGTTGACGTTTTCTTAAAAATATTCTATATAATTTTACTATCTGAATACCAAACAAAGATGTGTACAAAAAATGTGTTCTGTATAGTTCAATATCTTTTGTGAATGTGCATTTTAATGTTAATCTGCAATTCTGTATCTTGCCACTAGAGGGAACCCTATTACAGAAATATGCAGGAAACCTTTCGGTATTAACTGGAACGCTAAAATTTGGAATTTTAAAATGTATTGCCAACACAAGCTTTGCCTATTTAAGGTTTTATATTTTTTTTTTTACAATTTCTCCCCCTTTTTTTTTTTTTTTTTACATGCAGGCCATGAGGTGACACTAAAATCAGTAGTTAAATCTTAAATACATTAAAGCACCTTTTTACCTGTTAGTCATTTTTTGTTTATCACTTGGCTGTAGATCATCAAATCATCTCTGAATTGGTGACCAACACATTCCTTCCTTCTGGAGCGTGGCTACATTTGATCCCTGTGTGTGTTGCAAAGTAGCCACCACGCCAAGCTTGCTCTTGGTGCTGTGCATGTGGAACAAAGGAACCCCATCCTACTTTCTTGGATTATAGCAATAGTAGCTGGTAGGTATTCCCGGCTTGCCTCATTAAGGCCATAGGGTTCAAAGCCAGAGTCTAACCCACCTGTTCAACCTTCTGCTTGACAGCACGCCTCCACAAGTGGGGGGACTTTGTTCAGCAAGCTGGGTCACTTAATCTTGCCTTCCTAGCATTTGTTTGAGCTCATCCTTCCCTGTAGCCTTCAGGCTAGATTTTAGTGTAGGTGTGTCAGCTGTCCTCTACTCTTCAGATTTTGTTTGGGTTCCATGCACCCTGGAACCTCTACTTCCTTTTCTGGGAGTTTTTATTACTGATGGTGGTATTCCACTCAGACTTGCAGGACTATGAGGTGGTAGTGGTACTCCTCCTTTTTGGTACATGATGCTCCTCATTTCTATCCCTTTTCTGAGACCTCTTAAACTACAAGGTCCACAGGGACCAGCTTCTGTTCCATTTCCTAGTAAGGATCTGAGCCGTCCTCTAGCAGTACCAATTCCTGCTCGCATTACTGGCTGTTGTATATACCCTAGTGCCTTCATCTTGGCACTCCCACAGCTAAACACTCAGGAGACCCCTCCCCTGCAGGTCTGTTTTTCTGGACTACTTATTGTGGGTCCCATCTGCAGACCTAGTCTTGATGCGGCTGTCTAGTGCTGGTAATCTTTGGTCATCTACCAGTAGAGCTTTTTAGCTCACTTCCTTAAAAGTCGTCCACTCCATGTAGAGCTCTGGCTCAGTCGCAGAATTTTCCCTCTTTCAGGGTTTGTTGGGTTGTTGGTGCCCCTTTTACAATGGGTTCTTCTCGTGTGGGCTACATGTTCCAACTTCTCCCTCTGTTTGGGAGCCTGGACTCTGGGTGAAATCCTTGGACCCAAATGTCCCAGCACCAGCTCTTGGTAAGTGGTTTGGAAGATGGGGTGGTCTTAACTCCTGGGAGGACTTCTGACAGATGTATCCTCATGCTTGGGAATTCCATCTAAAATTCCTTAAAATGGTTGTTTCTCTAGTCACCTTCCAGGACAGCATTAGAGAGAGGCTCCTCCCACCGGAAACAGGAAACACATCACCCACACCTAGAATAAAAAGAGTACCAGCCTAGCACACTTCAGTTATTTTGTGTTTCCTCCGGCCGAGCAGGACATCGTAATGTTGTTTTCCTAGGCCTACGTGCTGGTGAGCAGGGGCTTCCCCCCCCGACAGGGGTACAGCAAAGGGTCAGTGGACCTAGGGTATCCATGAAGGGGGGCTTCCGGGACAGCCCCAACTGTCTAAACTTGGTGCCATAGCTTCCTGGCATAAGTGTATGCAGGGCAGCTAGACCATTGGTGTAGCGGGCTCAGGGGAGCTCCCCTACCACAGATACCCCTGCTTCAGCGGCGGCGGTTTACGGCGATTCTCCTACCTTGATCCGGTGCAACAGGGGTCGGCCACGGGCATCCTCGGTGAGGCAGCGATTAGGCGCTGCCCGGCGCATCCTCTCAGGCAGTTGTGTGGCCCTCGTGGTAGGGGGAATGGATTCTCCGGCGGACGTGCGGGGACGGAAGTGACGCGCGAAATCGGCGCGGGCGTCTGACGTCACTTCCGGGTGAGAGGGTCATAAGACCCGGCGTTCCCAAGCTGCAACAACCGCTCGGCCACGCTACAGATGGCCAACACAGCTGAAGCAGTGGGTCGTAAGGCTCTTGCGGTGCCCACACACGCAAGGGGGGGCACCAATGGTGGGGCACAGGAGCTGGAGTCGGAGGGGCCAGGGGGCCCAGCGGGTGACTCAAATACCATGATGGCATCAATTGATCTGGGGGATCCTGGTGCCGGCAGCTCTAAGGTAAGAGAGGGGGAGTTCCCCATTCCTTTTACCGGTTATTTCTCAGTGTTTGGGGGGCATGAGAATTGGGGTAGACACAGTGTTGGAGGATGGATGTTGCTTAATATGGCTTAGTCGTTTTTGTTTTGCAGAAGGCTGCAGCAGCTCGATCAAGCAATAAGAGATGCATACAATGCAATGTAAAGTATGCCTCCACATCCAAAAAACCCCTATGCCAGTCTTGCATTGGGAAACTGATCAAGGAGGAATCCTCCAACATGTGCAAGAATCTGTTGGATTCCATGAGGGAAGAAATGATGTCTACCTTTCAGTCTTTCCGCACGGTTATACAGGAGGCGGATCTGACTGATAGCCATAATGTGGCCGTCCCTTCAGGTTCAGGGACACGTAAGCCCCGCCAGGCAGCCTCACGCTCAAGCAGTGCGTCGGAGAGGGCTGCTACGGTATCCGATTCTTCTGCTGACTCGGAAGAGGAAGCAGGGCTAGAATCAGGAGAAGACGCAGGACCATCTCAAAGGGGATATTTATTCCCAGCACATGAGACCGATGAGCTCCTCAAGTCAGTATGGGATACATTGGGTATCTCCGAGGAGCAAGGGGAGCTGTCTATACACGGCAGGCTGTATAAAGGGCTACAACCAAAGACGGGACGCACGTTCCCAGTCCACCAATCTATTAAGGAATTGGTGAAGACGGAGTGGAGTGAGCCAGAGAAGGTGTTTTTTTCCTCAACTAAAAAGACGTTTTCCCTTTTAAGGGGGAAGATTGGAAGGTTCCTAGAAACAGAGTTACCAGGTACGTAACTCCAATTTTTTGTTGGGTCTTCGTGGGTTGGTAATCTGAACTGATCTAAGTTGGACATTACCTGTGTGTGTGCTCCAGGACCTTCACCGCCAAGGATGTTTGGGACTGTCTCTGTGACGGGTTAAGTAGCTTGGCATCTATGCTTGTCATTTCTGACCACTATTTTAGAGACAAGGCTTCTGGATCCTTTCAACAGATCTCCACACTGAAGGGTGAGAGTTCAGCACTAGAGTGCCTCTCCCTTCTTGAGGGAAAGGAAGTGTCCTTTGCTTTATGGGTCGTGGTTGCCTGGATGGTTAGCAGACAGAACACGCTGGGACCCTGCTCAGTGGCTGAACCTCCTTGAATTTCTGCAAATCTTGCCTAACCAAACACTCCTGGGTGTTTGAGATCAAAGGAGTCTCGCTTATCATTGTTTCTGGTTTTTGCACACCAGTCTAGGTTTCAGTACACCTCATCCCTGCTTATCCTATGTGTGGGTGCTGCTTGCTGGCCCCACCCATCCATATTCAGGTGAACATCAAGGTTGGTACCCTTGTTCTTGTGTTGTGGTGGGGGGGGGGTTCCCCTCCTACTCCTACTCCTACGGGTAATTTTATCCTATAATTTTGTGATAGTCTGCTGTTATATTGTGTCAACCATTGTTATCTTGCTGCAAGGTTGGTAGCCTAATCGGACAACTTTCATCATGGATCCTTTCCCTTAATTACAAGGGAAGGCTTGAGCTTTCTGTTGACTGGCTTTTCACGTTTGGGCTGCAATGAGACCACTACTTGCCCACAAGAAACAAGGGTCCACTTTGCAGCTGCCGATATAGAGGTCATGCTTTTCTACTAGGGCTGTGGATGCTTTAGTAAGGAAACTGTAAAAGACATTTCAATTGCTTTTTAGTATAGCAGCCGGAATGTTTTTAACAAAGTTTGATTTGGGTTTTAAGCTACACAATCTAACATGCATCTTTAACATTGCCGCCAGGTGGCAGTAAAACACCATTTATCATGTGCAAGGGTATGAAAAATAGACTTCACTGTTTTAAAGACAACACTACACCATTGCAATGAATA